GAAGCAGAAGGAGCAGCTGCGACTGTGACCTACTAACAAGAGCTAGCAAGCCCCGAGTCTGGGCTGTCAGGAAGCACAACTAAAAACATATACCAGTGACGCCCCCTGGTAATACTTTAGTTTATACTAAAATAGTTGTATTTTCTGGGGTTTGTAGACCTGTATCTAAGCAGAAAGGCAAAATACAATACAGAATATTTAGTGCCGTACAACCTGATAGGCGATATTCAGGAAGAAAAAACATGATTTTATGTACCTCTGCACGGGAGGTGAGTTTGATTTACGCACCGTCTGACAGGGTCCAGCAGGGGTCACAATTATCACACAGATTCATCTTGAGTAGAAATAAGCTTGATGTAATATTTTAGGAATGTTTGTTAAGAAAATGCTCAAAATATGTGTCCTTCCCTGCAAATGTATAATTACACAAAACTAATATACTAATGTAATTATAATATCTAATTATACACGTTTTTTTGTTTGCTTATCAAAAATATTAAAGAGTGTAATTTACAATGTGTATTTATACTGGAGTTATTGTTGACACTAATGCTTTAGACACAGAAAATCATGATATGCTAATAAAAAAAAAATGGACTCCTTTTAGAGTATTTCTTTGGCAAACATAAACAAAGATCCTGTCTCTTGTTAAATGAAATCTGAAATCCAAGAACTTATCATTACATGTGTTAATAAGGAGAGGGTGGCATTCTTTTCTTTTCATTTATTCCAAAGTAGTTAAGAAATAAAAATGACAAGTTTTGACTGCGAGGCCTGTTAGTTAAACAGGAAAGAAACTTTTTTTAGCATTTACCATTAACATAAAATTGGCAAGTTTAAAGTTGGACATTTCTTTCGAGAAAGATTTATAAAACTAACTAAAGATTAGCCTTAATGTTTACCAAGATGCAAGGTGACAGAGGTCAAAAATAACTCCAAAAATAATGGTCACCGTCATCTTCTGCTTATCCGGGACCGGGTCACGGGTGCAGTATTCTAATTTCCTCTCCCCAGACACCTTCTCCAGCTCCACTGGTGAAAGCCTGAGACATTCCCAGGCCAACTGAATCTCTCCAGTGGATCCTGGCCCATTCCCTTTTCCTCCCCGCAGTGGAACGTGCCAGGAACACCAACCAAGACAGTCGTCAAGAGTGCATCCAAAAAAGATGTCCAAGCCACCTTATCTGATCTTTAACTATGGAAGGAGATGGCTTTACTCTGAGCCTCTCCCTGATGATGACCAAGCCCCTTACCCTATCTCTAAGGGAGTGCCCAGCCACCCTGTAGAAAAAGCCAATTTCTGCCATTTTAATCCAGGATGTTGTTCTTTCTGTCATGGATTTCATGACCATATGTGAGGGTGGGAGTGCAGACTGTGCGCAAACAAATCGAGGACTGTTGCTTTTGGCTCAGCTCTCTCTTCATCACAGCAAAGCATTGCTGCATCTGAATTATAGCTGCAGCTGCAAGAATCCATCTGTTGATCACCCTCTCCATTCTCCCCCTCAGGCTGGTTCACACTCGGCTACGAATCCCCCCATTGCATGCTATAAGTCTTGGCAGGGGGGAGCCAGTAGAACCAATCTGTCTGCAAAACCCTGGGGCAAAATCTGCTGGTTCCCAAACCAGGCCACCTCCAGCTCTTAGTTGCACCTTTAAATGATAGAAGCCAACAGTGCCAGAGTCCAGCATGCACTGAGAACAGGCCCAACTTAATGCTGACACTGCTGTAGCTGACCAACAGGCTATGTTGAAAAGATGTGATAGCCACAACACTCCAACAACATCCAGAGACCAAGTTTACTCAGAGCAGATCTTATCTACCCCCAAAATCCTGAGAATGTGGAGTTTTCTGACCACTGCTGTGACTTGGGAATGAGTGATAAACAGGTCTAGACCAGTGCACCAAGTCTCTCTTTTTGTCATGGAAGTGGTGTCACCTGGGTTGAGGATATCCTAAAAGTATTCCTTCTGCTGTCCAACAATATCCTCAGTCAAACTCAGCAGCTCATACTTTCACAAAAAAATGGGTTAGTGAAGCACTGCCTCCCCTCAGGGTACTTGCTTGCTGCCTCAGAAGTCCCAGACGCCAACCAGGCTCAATAGGCCTACTTCTTCACCCTGACAGCATCCCTTACTGTCTGTGTCCACCCCCAGGGTTGGGGGTTACTACCAAAACAGGCACCACTGACCTAACGCCCACAGTTACAGGATATCACATTGCCAATAGTGGCGGAGAACATGTTCCACTCAGATTCCATGTCCTCAACCTCCCCCAGAATCTTAGAAAAGCTCTCGCTGAGGTGGAAACTGTTCATGTACCCGACCAATGGTTCTGCCAGATATTCCCGGCAGACCCTCTCTACTTGTTTGAGCCTGCCAAGTCACTCCAGCTTTTTCCTCTTCCAGCAATGGACAGCTTCACCTCTCTCTTCAGCCAAATCGCCGAAACAGGCGCCAATGCTCATAAAATATGACTATTAAGTCATTCATCTATCCAAGGTTGTCCTGGTGCAAAGTGCACTGATGGACATATCCTTGAACATATTGTTCATGACGGACAAACCATAACTTGCACAGAAGTCTAACAATAAAACAAACTCAGATTCAGAGGTGAAGGTCTGACCCTCCTGATCACACCCCTCCAGGTGTCACTGTTATTTCCCACATGGGCGTAGAAGTCACACGACAAAATTATGGATTTGCTGAGAGGGGCGCTATCCAGCCTCTCAATAGTAAAATGTTGAAGAGCAAATCAGAATCAGATTTATTTATTGCCAAGTAGGTTTACACTTACAAGGAATTTGACTTGACACTGATGGTGCAGACAAATTCGATATACTTACAGAATAAAGAATCTATAGCTATGTAGTACAGTACAAAAACATACAATATACTATATATATAGTATATAGCCATATACTATATACACAGTAGACTGTGCATTAATGTAACGCAGGAGATGCTATGTAGGTGTAGCTTGTAGGTCCTGACTGGGGGAGGGAAAGAGAGGCAATGTCAGTGTAAATGGTAAATGGCATGTACTTATATAGCACCTTTATTCAAGTCTGCAGACTTGACCAAAGCGCTTTACACTACATTCATTCACCCATTCATACACACACTCACGGTAGCAAGCTACATTGTCGCCACAGCTGCCATGGGGCTCACTAACAGAAGCGGGTCTGCCGTACACTGGCCTGGTGGCGCCAGTGTACTGCAGCCCCGCAGACAATGCAGGTGAAGTGTCTTGCCCAAGGACACAACAACACTGAAAGTCGGAGTCGGGGCTTGAACCGTCAACCCTTCAATTTCAGGGCAAACTCCTACATCCAACGCCACTGTCGCCCCGACACAGGGGTCTCTGGGCCTTGTGGATGAGGCTGGTAGTGGATGAGAAGAAACTGTAAGTGTGGTGTGAGGTTTTGGTCCTGATAGCATAGCTTGTGGCTGGGGTGTGAGGGATCAGCCACAATCTTCCTTGCAGATCCTGGAGAGATGGAAGATTGCAACAGCCAATCACCTTCTCTGCAGACCAGATGACACGCTGCAGTCTACCCTTGTACCAGATGGTGATGGAGGAGGTCAGGATAGACTCAATGATGGAGGAGTAGAACTGCACCATCATTGTGCTTGGACAATGATGATGTTGACAATGATGATAAGGACAATAATGATATTAAATGTCATATGTGATAAGCGAGAGCAACTTCCACCTGACATCACATCCCTGTGACAGATATTATTTAAGCAGCTTTTCTCCTCCCTTTTATTATTAGCCTTTCATTTACCTTGTGCTCATTGTCATTATTGCGTAATGTTGCATAGTTATTAGGTACAATAATACTGTAATATTATTAAGCAATAAAGGTACCAATATTTTTAACCCATGGTCATCTGTGATTATTTATACAGTGAATGATTCATCACCTAGAGCCAGATCCACGTCCCTTTTGGTTAACGCTGGAAAAAGCTGACACAATTTCTTTTGGTTGGTGGTAAATAACTCTGCTGATAACTGTAGTCTAAATTTCTAAATTGATTTCTCACGGTTCCATCTGCAAATGATAGGCCCACTGGGAGATGGCATGCATTGAACCTCCAGACTCTTCATAGGCCAGGTCCTATGAAGAGGAGCCCAACCATCACTCACTCACCAATGTACCCCATCCTATGTCTTGTCCCAGGGTAAGGTCCCAGCTCCAGCTGAAATCCCATGCCTCAATTTCTTAGTCATCATCAGGGCTTTTTTAACTCTTTTTCTGACCTGTTACTCAGAGCCTTTGGAAACCTTTCCACGCAAGCACTAAAACCTCCAATAAGGTTTGTATTGTCATGTAAATAAAAATAATCTGACAAACTCTTAGGATAAAGACAGGCAGCAAGCTTATTTATACAAGAGCTCACTTGAAAAGTTCATATGCAGTCCAGAACATAAAATTTGATTTTATGGTTTAGTAAGGAGAAAAAAAAGATTTTGTCTTTTCCAAATTAAATTTAAAAAAATTTACATTTTTTTAGATATTGTATTAATCCACCCAACCCCACTTAAAAATGTCTGTATTTGAAATCTATCCTCTTTGAAAACATAATAACCTACGTAAAAGTCATAGTATTGATCTTTATTTATACTTTGAAAATAAGATACAGCTTAAAACTGTGAAGTTTGGAATGTGATAGAATAATGAGAGATGTATTACTAAGCACTCAAACCTAAGCTGCACTGCCCCCCTTTCTTGCATGCGACTAATTCCTTATTGTTAATAAATCATTAGCATGAATACATGAGTAGATTATTTAACCGTCCATAGTTTTATTACAATTATGTTATTATATTATTAATTTATTTCGGTACCAGTTTCAGGAAGCGTTAACGTAACCCCTCCCCCTGCTGACAAGTAAAATGGTTTAGCCCAAACTGGAACCGTCCATTATTTTCGGTGTAGACGTGTTGTAGATGATAAATCTGTTGTTGCGCTAAATGGACGACCTTAACGTGTATATTTAGACGAACCAGGAAATTTAAAATGTAAAGCAAGCAACTGTGAAGCTTGATTTGTTTGATATAGTTAGCATTGTGGCTGTTTCTCTGTGTAGGGCCCCCCTGCTGCTGGTAGTGGGTACTGCTCAGGGCACTTCCTTGTTCAAAAGTTTTATTTAGAGGAAGGCTTGGGGGCAGAAGTTGGACACTTGACTGGGTGTTATTATTATTCTTGCTGTCAGCGGTAGAGCGATGGAGTTACGGCGCATATTTTCCTTTAATTAGCGTGTAGCCACCACCGCTGCTTGGTTAATGGATGAAATAATCACAGGCTTACAGCAGTGAAAGGCTCCAGAAAGAGGAAGATGTCCACGGCTAGCATTAGCGAAGACATCCGAGGGAAGTTTCCCCTTCATGCCGCAGTTTGGGAGAACGACTACAGGAAACTGGAACAGCAAATACGATCACAGCAGGTTAGTAGAAACGCCAAGGTAGATGGTGAAACCACCAGATGAAAGCAGAGGCTAGTTTCTGGGTGTGTTTGTAGCCTGTTAGTAGGCCAGAGATGTTGACAGATGCTCTGCTGCTGTCACAGACTAAAGTTAACTGATGACTTATCAGCTGGCTTACAACACTTAGTTAAAAAATAGAAAGTAACAACAGGTGCATAATCTGAAATTTACTTCAAAAACAGATATTCAACACACACAGGAATGTTTTTTTTTTGTTGCTAAATGCTGAAAGCTTATTGAAGCTTAAAATCCAATGCCTCACATTATTAGAATACATTATAAATCAAACCAATTTGAATTTTATTGTGAAAAGAGAAATGGAGCCTACAAAAAAAAAAAAAAAAAAAAAA